GGGGGGGTATGCATAATTAAAGCTGGAAGACTGGAAACTATAGGGGCATCCTCTCAAACTTTACCTACTGAAACTAAAATAGGAAAGTTATGGCCATCAGGTGGCACTGTAGTTAAGAGACTGGATTACCAAATCGTCAACTATGGTTTGAATCCCAGACCCAGAGGCTGGAAAATCATGCTGGGTGCATGTGCATGCATGCCCAAAGTCCCAGGAGGAAAATAGAAGAGAAGGGATTGGAACATGGCCATTTCCCCCATCTTGGGGGGATGAGTTCTTACTTTCCCTTTTTCTCTCTGTCTCTTTCCAGCAAGGAAGAAAAAATATAAAAAAAAAGCAGAAGGGAAATATACTTGCTGTATAAGAATCTTATTACACATATTTATATATGTTCTACTAAGTTGTAATAAGTTTACATAGTGTTTATTTGAAACATACTTTTGAAAAACTCATGAATATACACAGAATGAACAAATATTGAAGACACATATGTTGATAACACAGAAAATGTTACAGACTTTTCTCTATACTATGCAAGATGATTCCTTGTAGGAATGGATCTGAGCGGTCCCTAGTTTTGCTTTCGTGGGATTTTTTTTTCTTATTTTTGTTGTTTTGTTTTGTTTTGTTTTGCTATAGGTGTATGTGGTCACCAGAAAGAGAGAGAGAGAGAAAATAAAAATTGTACCCCAGAGGGGATGGCCACACTGCAATCCATTCTTAGTCTCTTCCTGGGATTTTAGGCACACATGTACACGTCCTGGCAGGATCTTTCAAGCCACCAGGTTTGGGACTAGAAACACAGGGTCAGTCATTTGGGATCCAGCCTCATTAACCTCGATTCTATCTGCTGGCCCAGGGTCCCCACTTTCCAATGTACACCTCAGCCACCATGGTACCAAGAGACAGGTCTATCTTGGTTTATTATTTCTCAGAATCAGGACACATGAATGGCCTGAAGGGAAAGTAATTGCAGTAGCCTAGTAAATCATGAGAATCAGATTATCATTCACCAAATCAGATATCAAAACTGGCATTAAATATAATAGATTGAAAATGGCAGAGAGCAGAACAAAGGCAATAACAGATTGCATAGCTGTTATGTGTGCCTCAGTGCTGGCATCTCTGGGTCCTTGGGGCATCGTGCTGCGTTATACTGAGGTGTTAGCACAGTAAGATTAGCAGGAACAAGGTTGTCAGTGACACAGTAGAGTATGAAAGTGAACATAGTATTGATGAGTAAAAGAATAGAAAACTGCAAAATTGCCCAAACTGGCACTGCAAGTCATATTTCTTTCATATCCATTGATCAAGACATTAACATAAATTATCATAAGTGAATATTAAAAAACAAGGGGACCAGGACCAGTGGGTGGCATAATGGCTGCATTGCTGGACTCCCATGTAGTCGACTGTGGTTTGAGTCCCAGACCCAGTGGCTTAAAATCATGCCAGGCACGTGTGCATACGTACCCAAGATCCCAAGAGGAGAAGGGAGGAGAAGGGATTGCTGTGTGGCCATCCTCCCTGGGGGGGTGATTTCTCACTTTCTGTCTCTCTGTCTCTCTCTATCTTTCTGGCATTGGAAAACGTATTGTCCCCTAAAAAAAAAAAAAAAAAAAAAAAAAAAAAAAAAAAAAAAAAAAACTCTCAAAAACAAAAACAGGGGGACCAAAGTCACCAGCAGTATTACTGAGACCACCTTTTTAACTTCCCACTTAGGTAGAGAAAAGCTGAGTTAGAAAAGTTGGCTATCTTGAGAAATTAAAAGGTGCTGAGACAGGTAGCAAGCCAGATGCCAAAGTGGTTGACCATTACCCAAGTAGCAGTCAGGATTTTGAACAGTTTCCAGCTCAGAAAAAAAAAAAAAAAAAAACAACACTGGATTGGACATAGATAGACACCAACTTATGAATACTGACCAGAGCAGACCAGTCCTGGGGATCGCCAAAGCAGTGAGGATTTGACCAGATGAGGAGATCTTCCTTCTCTTTGCCCAGTCAATGACATTCACCAGTGCTGTGAATCTATTTCCTACATTTCCAGCCATGAATCTCACATACACAATGATTGTGTGCTCTTTATGACATTACCTATTATCTGTGAGAGAATACCCCAATGTGAAATATCTCTGTTGAAGATTTCTCAATACACTTACCTAAAATGCTCTGCACATCTAATTCTTGAAACTTCAATAATATACTCTTTTTATAAAAGGTCTTGTACACAATAAGTAACTACCAACCTCAAGATTTTTTCTAATGATGGAATTCACAGCTTTCTTCATGAAAATACTTCTATCTCCCCAGACAACCCAGATGAGCCTCATCTAGAAACTGTATGCCTTAAATACAGTAGGCTGGAGTCTTTTGTAGTTAGTGTGAGGAAATGCTGAATTTTCATATGCTAACATGCAAAAAAAGATATATTTTTGTAGTTTTGTTCTTCTTGTCATGTCTACATATTTGACTCTGGCAACTTGAGTTCCTGGCAGGTGCCATTATAAGATTCTAACACATATACCAGCCAAGTGTCTAAATTAGGATGTGGAAAATACTGACACTGAAGTTTTTTAAACATATCAAGCATACCAGTAGAGGGAATGGAAGATGATAGTCAAAGTCTGTAAAGCCTCAGTTGAACAGGAGAAATATTTTGATATGATTTGTTTGGGGTTTTGTTTTTGTTCTGAGGTCTATAGAAAAATACACTAAGCATGGTTAATGATGGTGTAGAACATATTTCAAAATTTCTAAGATAGTATATTTTAAATGTCCTCACAAAAAATTAGAAGTTCTTGAGACAACAGATACTGTCATTATCTTGATCTAATTATTTCATATTTTATTTATATATTATATTGTATATCATACCACATATGACTATCATTCATTGATTTATAATGGGAAAGCAGAAGCAAAAAGAAAATAAAGGAAGGAAAGATGAGTGAAAGAGGAAGAAAGGATGAGCACACTTGATTTTCTTTTAAAAATATGTTTGTATAAAGACTCTTCCAACGTTTTCCAATTACCTTTCTATGAAGGATGAGAGTTTTCTTAATTATTTTATTTCATTTATTATTATTAATGATAATAACAGGTGGAAATATGTCTGTTTTCCCACAGACCAGTCTCTAAGTGTGTATGAGTTCATTCACAGAACAAGAGCCCACCTTCTCTGCACTTCTCTCCCCCGGTAGGACACACACCTCCATTAGTACCAAATATAATGGTTTGCACACACCCTCACTCTCCCAGCACCTCTGCTTCCTGGCCATCACTGCAGGCAACAAAGTGGACATAGGATATGATACCACCTACTCAGGATGGGGAAAAGAGCAACCCAACACAACATCACCCTCAAAAGCTAAAGAGAAGTAAGAAATAAACTGAGCAACAGCTCTAAAGACAGTACAAATGGCAGAAGGTAAGATAGCCCAATCGAGGGTGCTAAACCACCCTTGGTTCTGTAGCAATAATGAGCAAAGAAAGTAAAATCAATATGTCATCGACATTCTCACACAGAACCTAACTTTCAGGTATGAGACACACTGAGAAGGCAAAACTGAATAACTTCAAGAAATGTTAAGGAAAAGATTCTAAGACTAGAAGCACAAACATACCATTGTTGCAAAAGAAAAAGTCCCTCAGCTTGATCTTGTCTAGAACATCTCAAGGCTCCTCCATTATACCTTTGCGGTCTTGATGAAAATGCTTCATGTTTTCATCAGAACAGTAGTTTTGTTTTGTTTTATGCATTTGAGAGAGATTTTCTTTTTTTTTTGGAGTGGTTGTTTTGCTATAGGGCACGTGTGCTCTCCAGAAAGACACAGAGAGACAGAAAGTGAGAAATCACCCCCCAGGGGAAGGCCACTCCTTCTCCTTCATTCTCCTCTCAGGATCTTGGGCATGCACACACACGCACCCAGCGTGAGTTTAAGCCACTGGGTTTGGGACTTGAACTGCAGTCGACTTCTTGGGAGTCCAGCAACGTAGCCATTATAACATCCGCTGGTCCCATAAGTACATTTTTTAAAAGTAGTTTAGGTAAAAGACTTCTCTAAATACACTGCTAGAAATTACTCTAACATACACACTCTGGAAAATCTGGATGGAGGTAGGAAATTTTTTTTCAATTATTATTATTTTTATTTATACATTCAATTGCTATATATCATTTAGATCATAGGAAATAGGAAATATTTATCTCTATGAGTTTTTTTCTGTAAGAAAACACATGATGTACCCATTTATTTTTTTATTTTATTCAAAATTTACTTTATTTTGAGATCTTTCCATTTTTCACAACTGGCCACTATTAGTCACATCCTCTAATCTATCTATCTATCTATCTATCTATCTATCTATCTATCTATATCACCATTTAGGCTTACTTACAATATTTTTTATTTAAATTTATTTATTTGCATTCATTCACTTTACATCATTACAGCATACAAAATGAGATTTTCCATCGAGAGTACACTCTATATTGTCTCAATCAAGCACATCAACAAACATGTTATTGTCAACAAATAATTTTCCATTTCTTGTTTTCCGTATGTTTTGCTTTTTTTCCTCCATCCTTGATGCCCTCTTACCCTCTGCTGTCTCCCACTCTCCTCCCACACTGTCTCTAGTATCTATGTTTGCTTTCTATACTATTTTCCCCCATTTTATTGAATTACTAAAAACCTTAATTAATCTAAATATTTTCATAGCAAACACAGCTGATATATACATTTCCATGAACACAAGTCTAACTTTACACATCCTATAAAGTAGCACCTAGCTGGGGCTATATATCTTACTGCAGTCATTGAATAGATATTTTTTTTTCTGAAACTTTTTTTTTGTAACTTAATTTACATTCTTTTTTTTTCCCTAAGCATCATCATAGCATACAAAATGTGATTTCCCATCCAGAATATACTGCATAGTGACTTAGTCATGCATATTATTATAAAAAATTTTCCATTTCTAGTTCTATTTTTATCCCTTTTTCTGACCCTCTATCCTTTCCCACCCTCTTCTCACACTATCTCTGGGATATAATATTCAACTCCAGACTTGTCCCTACGATTAAGTTGGCCACTTTCTTAGTTTTTGAACTCTTATTTCCATGTGTCTGTATTCAATTTTCCTGATATAGCACACCCTTGAGAACCTCTTGGAGATCTGGTCTGGTGCCGGTAAATTACTTTTTTAAGGTCTTAGCCATTGGGTGTGTGTGCTCACCTGAGACAAATAGAGAAACAGTAAAAAGGAAAGTAAGAAAGCATTCTCCCTTCTCCTCCATTCTCTTCCTGAGATTTTGGGTGTCGCACACGCGTGCGCGCGCACACACACACACACACACACACACACACACCCAACATGAGTTTCAAGCTGCCGGGTCCCAGACTCAAACTGTGTGGGCCATATGGGAGTCTCATTATTAATCTAAGTCATTGAAAGTTTCTGTCCTTTCAGCCAGCACTTCAACTGCCACAAAACTGAAAGAAAGGTCTGTTTCAGTTTCCTGTTTCCCCAAATCAGAAAAAATGTGTGACTAGTAGGGTAGACGATTCCAAAAGCCTTGCAGAGTATGAGGACTGGTCTCTGTGACACTCTGTCAGAATTCCAAAAAGATGTGACTAGAGACAAAAAGTAAATAACAAATAGCAAGAGGAAGGAGATCACAGTTTGCAAAGCTTTTACGTGAACTTCGGTGCTGGTATCTTGAGATCCTCTGCCGTGGAGTTGCATCTTCTTGAGATGTTTACACAGGGAATAGATTAACAACAGAAAAGATATCAGAGACACAGTAAAAGGTATGAAGATTACTAGCGTGGCAACGGTCACAGTTGAAAGGTGTATAACGTCCCTCAGTTTAGTTTTCCAAGTCACATTTCCTTCATGTTGTCTTGGCCGCATACTCACATTCATGGTTCCTGCCACAAGATGACAAACTAAAAATACCAAAGTCCCCAACAATATGACCAGAATTACATTCTTAACTTTCCTCTTTAAATGAAGAAAAATATAGTTAGAGAAATTGGCAACCTTGAGCAAATATAATATGCTGAGCATAGTAGCAAGCCATAAGCTAAAATGGTTGGTCACTGTCCAGGAAATAATAACAAAAATTCTTACTTCTGCTTTATAGAAATCTCTTTTAAACACAGTTGCATACCAATTTATTAATAGTACCCAGAGCAAACCAATTCTGGAGACTGCCAGAGCAGTGAGAATTCGATCAGTTAAGGAGATCTTTTGTCTCTTGATCCAGTCAATGAAGTTCACCAGAGCTATGAAGCCATTGAAAAAATTTCCAAGAATAAATTGTACCATTACCAGAATGGAAAAAATGATTGGAAGCAGATTTATCATTCTTGAGCCAAACAGGTAGAATAAATAAAAGAAAGAAAGAAATGCAAGGCTAATATAACAAGTTGTGATTTGTTTTGTTATCTTGACCTTACGTTCAATATGCATCAGATTTCTGAATGTGACCTAACATTCTTGTTTCTTTTCAATTCTGTCACCAGTGTCGAGCAGGAAAGCACCACAACATGCTAATGAAAGTCATCTTTATGGAAAGTATTGTTATTGCCAACATATCTCAAATTAACTACTATCCATACACTGCATGGCCTGCTCATAGGCAGAATATTTCTTACCTGATTTCAAAACGAGAGCTAAATTTTCATTTGCAAGCATGCAAATAAAGACATATTCTCTTTCCTTGTTTAACCTCTCCAAGATTGTTGTTCAGCAAACTTAGGTGTTAAGAGAATTTTACAAGCCAATATGTAGACCTATAGTGAATATCTGAATTATTATACGAACTGTGAACATAAGCAGGATTTTCTCCATTATGGATTTATTTTTTTAATCCCAGTCTACATAGAAAGAATCCAAACTTCTCCTATCAAAAGCATTCAAAAATCACTTTGTCCAAGATTTATGAGCACTCCTGTGTTTATTGAAGCATTATTCACAAGAGCCAATATATGAGAATCAAACTAAATGTCCATTGACACATTAATGGATTAAAAGAATGTTGATGGAATACTCTTTAGCCATATACAATAATGAAATCCTGCCATTAGCAGCAATGATGACTCTGGAGCACTTTATATTAAGTGAAATAAACCAAACACAGAAAGATAAATAACATATGTTCTCTTATATCTGTGAGCAAAAGAACATAGTGTGGTGATTTCTAGAGGCTTAAAAGGGATGGTGAAGAGAAAGATTAGAGCCACCGGCTTGTGACTACAAAATTACAGCTAGATAAGAAGACGAAATTCTAATGTTTAATAACACTGTACAACAACTATATATGGCAATAATGTATTGTATATTCAAAATAGCTGGGAGAAAGAACTGTGAATGTTCCCAAAACAAAGGAAGAATAAATGCTTCAGATAAAGGACATGTTAACTACTCTGATTTAATCATTATACACAATATGCATGTGCTAACGTGTCACACTATATCCACGAATATGTAGAATTATTATTGTCAATTAAATAGAGTAACAATGAAAATATAGGATAAAACATACAAGAGATTTTGAGAATCTCAGAAATGCCAGCAATCCGTAAAATCTGATTTCTCTATTTAACACTAATACATAATATTATTATTTATAAACTCAAACACACACACACACACACACACACACTCATGGATAAAAGAATTGTCACGTAAGTTCCAAACTGGAAAGTGATTTTTCAGGGAGGTCATCATGTTAAATAGTCATTTTTCCCCACTTAGGCTTTTTTAACCTATTTTAGTACTAGTCAAATGTATCTCTCATGCTTAGAACTTTAAAAAGTTACATTTGCAAATCTGTTTAATATTTAAATACTAGTTATCTAATTTAAATACTCAGAAATAATATTGTTAGTCCCACACTCTGTGACATACGGTGCTGTAGGACTCTCCATCTACAGGCAGGTATATCCCTTCCCCTTTCCTCTGAGCTCAGTAATGTAACTAGTCCTGATTAATACAAAGTTAGTAGACTTTATCAGAGATTTGAAATGGCTTCTGTACTAAGGATTGCCAGGTATGGCTCTTCTACATTCACCATGAGGACTTGCCTAGGCTTGTGCTTTGGTCTCAGGAGAAAAGAGACTCAGAGTCAAGTAGTCCAGGCCTCTCCAGCCTGTATCTGCCAAACTCTAACCAGCTCCCAGATGCAGAAGTTGACCTGTCACCAGACACCATTGACGTTGACCAAGGCCAACTTAAAAAGACTAAATCTACAGACATGTGAAATATATATATATATACATCATGTAATTTGTCATTTAAGTCTGTCTGATGTCTTTTGCTTAAAAAAAAAAAAAAGCTTTCTGATATACACATTACTCAAATGGGGAAAAAGAAGTTTCTTAGAAAACTTTCAAGTCTGAAGATCAGAAGGATAAAGGTAAGATTAATACAGGTAATTGGGGGCCGACAGGTGGTGTGGTGGCTAAGGGTGCTGGACTTGCATGTGACCAACAGTGATTTGAGTCCTGAACCTGGAAATTTGCTTTCTCACTTTTCCTCTCTCTCACTGTGGTCAAATAAACAAATAAATAAATTAAACTAAATTAAATTATTCTGAAAAAAAATTTTTTTTTTAAATTACACAAGAAGTTGGCCCCTGCCACACACTAACTGGTCCTCTACCAGGGCTACTCATAGCACTAGGGCTACTATTTTGTGACTCACCACCTGGCTCAGTCCCCCTCCACCCCTGGTCACACTGGGACCAGAAATGTTGGAGCAAATCAGAGGAACATGGCCACTGACTGAGGAGAGGATAAACCACCATCAACTTCTACAGCCTGGAAAATCTACAAGAGAAGGGCAATTTCTGGATACATATGAGTTACTTTTTTGAACCAAGAATAAATAGAAAGCCTGACTAGAACAATAACAAGCAAAGAGATTAAATCAGTACTAACATCCCTATAAGCAAAAGCCATGATAGCTTCACTTCTGAATTCTACAAAACTTTTAAGGAAGTGTAATCCATAATTATCCTCAAACTATCTCTGAAAATCCAACAGGAATGAACCTTTCCAAACTCACTTTATGAAGCCTCCATTATCTTGATACCAACAGCAGACAAGGAAACAGAAGAAAATAAAAAGAAAAGAAAAAAAAAAGAAAAAAGAAAGGGTGAACAAAGAAAAAGAAAGAAGAAAGAAAAACGCAGACCAACATGTCTGATGATTACAGATGCAAAAATCCTTAAGATTTTAACAGTCAATCCAACAGTATATTAAAAAAAAATTATACAACATGTAGGCTTTATCTCTACAGGCTTCATTCCCATTCAGGGATGAAAGGCTAATTCAACATACACAAAGCAAAAAAATATAAACTCTCATATTAACATATTGACCAAAGAAAAGATAAACCACATGATCATATCAATCAATGTAGAAAGAGTATTTGATAAAATAAAACAAGACTTCATGATTAAGACCTTTGGCAATATAGGTATGGAAGGGACATTTCTCAACACAATGAGAGTCAATATGACCAACACTTTGCCAGCATAATACTGAATTGGGGAATGCTCAAAGCTTTTACACTAAAAATTGGGATAAAACAAGGCTGCCTTCACTAGTCACAGTTTTGCAATGTAGTGCTGAAAGTCCTACCCAATACAATAAGACAAGAGGGTAAAATATAATGCATTCAAATAGGAAAAGAAGAAGCTAAATCACCCTATTCATAGACAATGTGATTATATACATAGAAAATCCAATGGAATCTGTAAAAATATCTCCCAGAAGTAATAAAAATTTTTAGAAAAATAGCAGACTACAAAATCAATATACAAAAATCTTTAGCATTTTAATACATCAACAATGAACAGAGTGAGACAGAATTGAAGAAAATAGTCCCATTTACAGTAGCCATGGGGGGAAAAAAAATAAGAATAAACCTAACAAAAGAGCTGAAAGACCTCTATAAGGAAAACTATTAAAAAACTGAAAAAAAAATTTTTGTGATACCAAAAAAAAATTATAAGTACATTCTGTGTTCTTAGACTATAAGAATCAATATAATAAAAATATTAATTGTACCCAGATTAATTTAAAATTAAATGTGATTCCACTTAAATTACCAGTGACATTCTTCATAGAAGTTGAAAACACAATAAAAATTTTATCTGGAAGCACAAAAAGTCCCATATCAGCAATGCAATACTATGCAAAGAGGATAAAATATAAGGCATTTTAAAGATATTACAAGGCTGTGATAATCAAAACAACATGGAAGTAGTACAACAGGCACATAGTCAAACAAAACAGAATAGAGAAACCAGAAATAAATTCTAAAACATGGCTGACATCTTTGATCAATGGTAAAGACAATACAGTGGATAAAAGAAAGTCTTTCAGCAAATGCTGCTGAAAGAATTGGATTTCCACCTGCAGGAAAGTGAAACTAAACCCCTATTTCTCTTCATTAACAAAAATCAACTCAAAATGGATCAAAAACTTAAATGTGAAGCTTCAAACTATAAAACTACTTTTGGAAAACAAGAGCAACTCCTGAAGATATTGGAGTAGGCAAACATTTCTTAGGTCAGACTCCTAAAGAACAGACAATAATCCTCAAAATACTCAAGTAGGATTACGCCAAGCTAAAAAGCTTCTGCACAGCAAAGAAAGTAACAAAGTAAAAAGACAACCATGGGAATGGGAGAAAATAATTGCAAATTTTGCTTCAGATAAGGGATTAATTACCAGAATATACAGATAACTCCAACAGCTCACTGATTAAAAGAGAATAATCCACATAACAAAATAGGCAAATGATCTGAAGAGACAACTCTCTATAGAACACCTTCAAAAGGCATATGGAAGAACATTCAAAGGCTCTTATCATAAGGGAAAGGCAAATCAAAACTGCAATGAGATGCCACTGAACCCCAATCAGAGTGACAATGATCAATCAAACAATAAAATAAATAAATATGACAAGTGCTGGTGAGTCTGTAGTGAAAAGGAAATTCTCCTATGTGGTGGAAGGGATTGAAATTAGTGCAGCACTATGAAAAATATTATAGCAGCTACTAAAAATCCTCCTCCTTAGTATATACCCAAAGGGTAGAAAAATACTCAGTTGGATAAACATTTGCACATCCATGTTTATTACAGCATTATTCACAATTGCTAAGACATGTAATCAACCTAAGTACCCAAAAACTGATAACTGCACTGAAAAAATGTGTCACATATACATTATAAAATACTACTCATCCACAAGAACATTGAGACCCTGTCATTTGATACAAAGTGAATGAACATTGGAGTTTTAATACTAAGTGAAATAAGTCAGACTTTTTCTGGCTTATAAAAGACAAATAC